TAATTGCAACTTTTTTTCGTTGTTTATATAAAATTAATTATAAACCTGAACAAATAAATGATTTATGTTCATTATCTCGTCATCTTTATGAAAATGAAGATGAAATACGTCCAATTGATATGTTATGGTTAGCTATGACAAGTACTGGTTTATTAAATCAATTAGATGAAAAATTATTAAATGATATTTTTTCATTATCATTTCTTGGTAGTGTTGATCATCTATCATTAAAAAAAAATTCTATTCAACTTGGTCAACCATTATTTCGTTTAAATCAAATTGTGTGTATTGATCATCCACAATTAAACATTCCTTGGTTTAATGATCGATTTGGATTAGAAATTGCTTTACCAGGTAATTTAATAGATATTGATTTCTTTTTTTTTTTTTATTACAATCGATGTCAAAATTCTCACAGGAAATTTTTATTTTGAAGTTGTGTATTAGAATGAGGAGTCCAATGGTAATGATGCTTCGGCCTTATGTACAGATAGACTAATGGAAAAGATGTTGAATGCCTGGTAAAATTATCGTGGTTTTGGATGTTTTCGATCGCGAAGGCTAGTTTCTTGACATAGGTCTTCTTCGACTGAAAAATTCGAAATAAGTCTAAGATCATCATAGTTTTATCATGCGTTCACTGTCTTCAACATTACTGCATAAGTGCAATGCTCTATCTTAGACGGGTGACTATCGTTACCATTATATCCATAATTAAAACTATACAAATATTTATTTAATATAATTACATGTTTCTATAGGAGAGCTTAAAAGATCACCTCTCTTCTGCTAACGGAAAAATTTTAGTTTTTTTTCTACTCTGTATACACTTGGAAATATTCTCTATCTACTAGACATATCTTACGAATAAATATATAACTATAAAAGTTGGAAAAGATAAAACATTTTCATTGAATAACGTGAAAACCTACACATGGTTTCAATTTTTTTTGAAAAATGAGTTTTTTCATAATTTTTAAATATGATGTACCGCTAGTTTTTGTCAGGGTTTATAAAAAAGTTTCGGTTAACAAAACCATCAAAAAAATATGTATTTTTTAGGATGATCTAAGGATCTTTGTGTTTTTACTCGATCAAAAGGAGATTAAATGAAATCGAAACAAGTAGACAACTCAAGCAACACCCAATATCTGTAAAAAGAAATCCTTAATCCTGGAGACTCCAATACCTCGTCCGGGGAGGCATCCGATAACTTTGAATCGATAACAATTTTTATCTTACTCGACAATAAAATACATTGGATCAATAGAAATTAGAGTACTAGCAAAAAAAAATGATAGCATGACATTGTTGTTATAAATTTATTAGGAATAATGATAATTTCATGGAAATAGATGATCTATATACACATCTTGTCTACGTGTTATACTATAATGATCATAATAGTGTTTAATAGTTTCTTTTTCTATTGTTTTGTATCACTCGCTATATCGTTTAATGCATCGGATAATGAACTGATATGTTTTACTGCTTGAGTAGGCGTCAACATTACCTCTACTAATCCCTCAGATCATACATTATCATATGTTTTGTTTTTAATATATTATGAATTTGTTTCTTTATCAAATACTAAACTCATAGGATAACAACTAAATACACTATATCTAGTTCATTACGAATTAGAGCAACACTTGGCGACTCTATTCTAGGAAAAGTTCTAAGAGGGTTTGGGCTGATAGAGCTTACTTTCGAAGGTTATGACCATTTTACTGCTTTTTTTTCCACATAACATAAGATATATGCAGAAAAACTGAACAACAGAATTTCGATCTGAAATGTTACTCAGATGTAGTTCCAATGATCATGAGAACTACATATGAGCAAAATTTCAGCTTGACATTCTGTTGTTCAATTTTTCTGTATATACCTTGTGGTAGGTGGAGAAAAATCAGTAAAATAATCATAATCTTCGAAGTAAGCTCAAACTCTCTAAGGCTTTTTCTTGAAACAATGTTCCCAGCATATCGACAAAATATCATTGAAAATGGCATGGATCAGTTAGGGATCTTTCTTTATTAGTACTTCAATTTCTACTTATCCACTGTATTTTATATTCAAGCATTTCTTGTATTAAATATGAATATATATATGTAGCACTTAAACTCTGCTATACAGACATATTAAATTGATTTTTTTCGTAGTTTTAATATACCAATTAAAAGTAATATGAATTGCGAGAATTTGAACATCGATTGTCGTAGACAATTTATAGTGATATAAGATTCTAAACAAAAAATAAACTATATATCCTTTAATATAATTGATATATTATTTTCTTTTTTAATTAAATAATATAAAAGCAAGATTTCGAAAACAAAAAAATTTAACTTTTTTTTTTAATATTTGTATAGATATGCGTCGTCATTGGATGATTCGAAATACTACATTTGATTATATTGAATCAAATTTGACAACAATGCTTGGTGGCAAAAAATATCTTCAAACTCATACACTTTCTCCATATTTTCATGAAATTGGTATGAATTTTTGTTTTAGTTTTTTAATATATTATATTATTCTTGATTGAGTATTATTCTAGATTTTGAATGTATTCTACGATTAGATAATTGTCAACCAGTTCCATGTGATCAATATGATTTAATGAAGAATATTAATGGAAATAAAGAACTTGATATTCCTGATGGATGTGAACGGTTAATAATAATCTTGATTTATGAATTAAATTAATAGAATTTCTTTTGTTTATTTATTTTTTGAATGTAGAGTAGCAATTCAAGTAACAACACCGAATCATTATTGTCATAATACAACTCATTATGTTGGTTCAGTTGAAATTTCATTTCGTCATTTGAAAAAACTCGGTTATCGACTTGTTATTGTAAGCATTGATTTGCATATACATAATTATTTATAGAAAAGTTCTTTTTGTTTTTTTTTTCGTTAGCTTCCCTATTACGAATTAGCAACAATCGAATCATCTGCAAGTCGTTTTCGTTATTTGAATAACAAATTGTTTAAGCATAATCAATAGACAATTCTATATTTTCAAAAATAAAAACCAACATGGTGAATCCATATTAATGGATTAATAGTTATTATATTGTATCATTAGTTGTTATCTAATAAAAACTTTTGTTAATCAGAAATTTTTCTTCTTACTATCTAACAACAGAATCATTCATCAAGATTTCGATTGTATATCAAAATAAAAAGCATATTATTTGAATGTATTACGCTCTAGCAACTCAACATTGTCTTCAAAATACTACATTTCATTATCAGAACATGTTTTTTATTTTGATTAAAATTATTTGTTGACCTTTAGTTATAATGCGACACTGTATGAACATAGTTATTATTTTATTTTTTTGCATCAGAGTGAAATTATCATGTCTGCCCATGTTACATGTTTTTTCGGATAATCGCTGATACACTGCGGTATTCATAAGAATCGAGGGTTTATTGGCAGTTTTTGTCTGATTTAAATTATATGGATGATTATGCTATATGTTGCAATGATGTATATGTATGAACTGGTCGAAATAATGGTCTATCAGAACGACAATGTTTTTTTTTATTGAATAAGGAAATGAAATACAATCATCTATATAAAAAAAATTCGTTATCAGTATTATTTGAATAAAGAAATTTGACAGAAAATCACAGAAGTACTCGATTGGTTCAGCAAAAAAAAATGAAAAACTAGTTTTTAATTGAAAGTTGTTCAGAAGTGCAAGTAAAGATGATTGAAAATCTTATGAGTAAACGAAAAGGATCTAGTAATCGTTCTGTGACTATAGACGAGTTCATCATAGAGTATAATTATTGTTTCGAAAATGAATTGATTCACTCAGTTTAATATTGATAAAAAGAGTTTTATTTATATTTATAGGAGTAATCTAAGATTATTTATTTCATTCTACAAAAACATAATAAACTTAAAATTATACATATAAAAAAAAACGAAGAACCTAATTATTGAAAATAATATGAAAGAACAAATAAATGAAACGATCGATTTTCCGAATATACAGATTATATCTAATCAATTTTATAAATCATTTATCAAATTATATTCGTGATCAATTGATAATTAATAAACAAATTATGTTGATCTAACGAGTATTACTAAAATAAGTGAGCCTCTCAATATTTCGAGAATATTTCTCTAAAATTGCGATGTATATACTTGAGTCCTTTTCTCAAAAGATAGCTTATGCAATGGTCTAGAAAATCTTATGAAAAAAGATCTTCCAACGAACAGCTATAGAAGTATAATATTCGGTGGACGCTACAATGCTTCAAAATGGCCTATTTTCCAAGCACTTGTTTTCATATTGACTATTTTGTAGTCTATAAAAAGTTCTATTCGTTCAACGAATACTTTTTTTTTGACATATTGTAAATCTATTTGAACAAGAACTTTTCTTTTGCGTCTCTCTATTTGTGTTCTGAGAATCTTTTATTAAGATTCATCATAATTTTAATTTTGTTATCTTGAATCAAAAAATTATTTCATATTTAGATTGATAACTCAGTTGAAGGAATATGTTTTCTCTATCATTTCGATATACGAGCAGAATGTTGCAAAGTTTTGTTTTTTCTTGTATCTATTTTGTTAGAAGAAGTGAAATTATTAGTTTTATAAAAATACGCATTTGAAAATGAGTCATTTTGGAGTATTGTAGGATTGACCAAGTATAACGTTGGAAGAGCTCTTTTCTTAAAGTTTTTTTTTAGAGAATTGCATAGGCTGTCTTTTGAGAAGAAATTCAAGTATTAACGTCGTAATTTAAAAGAGATATTCGAAAAACACCTAGAGGCTTATTTTTTCTGGCATACCTGTTAGATATATATTTAGAAAAAAATATACATTATTGCAAAGAATGTTGTTTATTGCTCACTCGACCGTATAGCCACGTATAATATTGTTGTTTATGCTTCATGATTTCTTATATTTCGTACATGAAAATCTAAATGAGTCAATGATATTTTTTTAATATTGAGTGTTGTTTACTATGCAAAATATAAAAATATCTTCAAATCATTCGTCTTCACTTTCGTCATTGGCTTCAAATCATCATAAGTCTACATCTAAGAATCGCAAAAGTCGATTAAAGTAAGTTCTTGAAACAGAAAATGACATTTAATAACATAAATATACATATATATATATATATATATAGAGTTCCTGCTCAGTCTGAGTATGAATATGTTGGCCGAATAGTAACACATGAACGACCAATGTTTCGAAAATCAAATTTATTTTATAAAAATCATATTCCTTCTTCACATATAATTAAAAAACATCGTTCGATAAAGCCTCATTATCAAGAAATTTATGAAGACGATTTGACGTCATCAGATGAAGACATAGAGGATTTATGTAGATCACTGGGTAAAATTAGAATAAATGATCGACATATTCGAGAGAGTATATAATAAAAAAATTTTAAAATAAAAATAAAAAAACATAATATTAAATTTTAGTCTATAAATTACCAACTCCACCACCTCAAGTAAAACGAGTTTTTCATCGTCTTCGTTCACCTGAACCAAAATTAATCGAACGAATATATGTTCGTCGACCAACACCAGAAATTATTGAAAATATTGTTGAAGTTCCGCCAGAAAAAGTTCGTATTATTAATCGAAAAAAATATTTACGTCAATCAAAACCAATTACTCGAACAAAGTAAAATATTCAAAAAAAAAACTTCATTTTATTTATTCAAAATTTATATTTCTAGATTAGTCCATTTAAGACCACATCATCATCAACAACAAATTGAAGAACAACCACAATCATACATTCCGTTTGATCAATGTCTTCAACAACCAACAGCATTTACTTATACTCTTCAACAAAATCCACATCCTGTGAGTTATTATGAACCAATCATTCCACTACACAGTACATTCAATCCTTCAATATTACAATCGACTTCTTATACTCATCAATTACCACAAATTGTGCCATTGGATTTGCCTTATGGATATTCTTATTATTAATTATATTAAAAAAAAAAATATTATTTCTAATAAATTTTAAACGCATCATATAAAACAATAAAAAGAAAAGTCAGTGATATATCTAAAAAATTTCTGCATCGATTGCATTGTTCTATATATTTGATAGAGTAGCTGAAAAATTACCTATTTTAAAGATTAGTATCTCTAGTCATGAATAGTACAGCATTCAGTACTTTCTCTCCTTAGAATGAAGTTCCACAATGATTTTGTATAGGATAAGTTATTGTCATAGTATATTATTATGATATGTTGAACAATATATCTATATTATATTGGAAACATCTGTTTACTATAATAATATCTTCTTCTGCAAATCGATTTTCTAGAATCCTTATATCAAATCTTATTGAATAAATTTAATTTCTTTTTTCATTACAAATATAATTAACAGTGAATAATTAGTACCGAAGTTAGACTGTATTTATTAATTAAATACTTAAATTCTTAGGAAGTTTAGAAGTAAATCCGATTGATGGAGAGTACAATACAAAATGGCAAAGTTTAGTATTGTAAATTAGTATTTTTTATATTCATGATAATCATCAAAAGTAGTCTTTTCATTTATAAATGATGTCAGCTTCTTTTCTTAAAATTTTCGTATACATTTGTTACTTATCAATTGACTACTTAATGAATCAGGTAAAGTAATAAAATAATACCTAATACCCAATTTTAACAGTTCCATTGATATTAAACATTTGAATATCATTTGATACAATGAAAATACTGCAGATTTTTTCATATAAATAGATTTTCAATATAATTATTGAATAAACTATGTGATGAAAGTTGACAATGAATTGAAATTTTTTCAGTAAGTAGATAATTAGACCTGTGACAGCTCACAAGTCTAGAAAAGAGTTCTTCTTTTATGATGAAATTCTATCAAGAAGAGCAATAACTGATTTTTTTGTAAACAATTTTTCATTTTTAATGTTCCAGCAGTTTGAAAGTCATATGTATGAAAAACAAAAAGTTTTCCACGTTCATATTCATGAAAATAACTACCTTGACTTAATACAATAATAGAACATTTTTATTACATTGGATGAATGCTTTATTGCATGCAGAGATGGACATAGAAAAAACCTTTAAACCTTGTATTGCTGTCGATTTTTGTACTGTCAATTAGCTGAACAGTACATCAGGACAATCGTACGGTTCTATTCCGTACTCATCACTGGCTAGATGATTCTATCCATTGATTCAAGATGAATTTGTGCAAGTTTTAAATAATTTTTCTATCGGTATTTTAACTTTAATATAATTTCCGTACTGAATCAATCAAGATCTTGAACAAAAATTTTTCTGATATGATGTTTTTTAAAAACTAAACCAATTCAAAAGATAGAAGTCTCATTTCATAAATCGAAAACTATGTCGTCGTCAAATTTTAATTGTGCCCATTAGTGTCATTTCTGTGTATTAATGAGTAACCTATAAAATATAATATAAATGTACACCCCTTTTTTTCATATCAATTTCTTCTCTATTATGAAAAATAAAGCATCGATCTCGTTGACCTTTAAAATATTCTTTTTTTTAAGAGGGTAAAACAATGAAAATTTTCATGAACCATAGATTTCAAAAAAAGGCACTCAGAACAAAAAAAAACATAATATGATATTTTCCAAATATCGAACTTGAATGTCAAAAAAATGGACCAAAGACTAACAGGAGAACTATAGTAATAAATTTATAAGCTTTGATTTTCTTTTATTTATTTCCATGCTCATTCGTACTCTATAAAAATATTAGCACAAATTCATATTCCAAAAAAAGAAATTTACTTTCATTTGCTATCCTTAACATTTCTATGGACGGCATTACCAACCATAGATCAATCTCACATGTAGAAGGTTGAAACTGAAAGGATTGAAAATTGAGTCTGCTAGTTCTAGAATGTTAACAACAGCTCATAAAAAAAGTGTCACATACTTTAAACTGGTGATCTGTTGTACGATATTAATAAGTTTTTACGTTTTAATAGACTTTCAAAAAAATGACTGACTTACAGCACATAAAATGTAATGTTTTTTGGCTTATAAAAATAGATTTTCACTTATCATTTTAATAATAATTCAGTATTTGATTTCGATGTAATGATGAAAGTAAATCGATTGAATCATAGAAAACATATTACAAGTGATCTTGGTTTACAAAAAAAGATGGATCTCAACCATAATAAGTTGACATTGTTGGCTCCAAAATTCTTCATATTAACTATAAAAAAAAGGATGGCATTTCGTAACAGCGATGTTTTTCAATTTTATTCCATACAGATATGACTATGACAAAAAAATGAGCTGATAATCTAAAAGCTCATTGGAAACTATACAACTTTCGTACTTAGCATTTTGTTTGTAAGCTATTTCACTTTTTTTGAAAACTACTATCAAACTGAAATAAATGTAATTTATTATTGATTTTAGTTGTTGATGATCTCAATGTGTGTTAAAAACTTAAAACCGCATGATTTTGCAATGACAAGGACGCCTAACTCATAGAAGTTAGAAAATGAAATTTTGTAGCTACTGACCAAGCCGTAGAGTCAAATAATCAGATCCATTTTATTAATTAGCTATTCTTCTTTAGGTTCTGTTCACAAAAATGTTGTTTACTCGACACTATTTTATTCAAAATATACAATACATTAATATAAGTCTATATTAATTTATTTAAAAAAAAAAACAAAATCAAACAGTAGTTAAACGAAACAGAAATGTGAGAGAATAGTTTAGTTTAGTCAAACTTACATGATAATTATTATGATTAATTGCTAAACTTTAGCATGAGTATCACATTAGTCAGATCAATTGAATCCATCGAAGGTTTATTTATGACAATTGGAAATCACAATGAGTAAGAGTTTTACCAGGCTAAAAGCCACCACCGCGTTGACCTCGAAAATAAGTATGACGAATAATATCTCGCCAATAATCAAAACAATTATCACAGAATACATTTGGAACAGACGGTAGCCTATTATTTGATATTGAAGATTTCGCTGTGTCTAAAAAAGAAATACTGATTAGTTTGTTGATGATATGAATTCTACTATTTTTAGATCTGTTAACATCTTATCAATAAATTTTTTTCTGAAAAATTGATCGATTTAATAGCTTGTACAAGGATAATTTATTATCATTAAATCGTAATGACAATATCGAAAATGGAATAAAACTTTTATAATGAGCAAATGATTTCAGAGAGAACGTCTGAAAATTTCTTGTGCATAAACTTATTTTCCGTTCTTAGTTTTGGTTGATGAGATGGTCAACTGTCGATTGAAGATTTTGAAATGTGTACGTTTTGCTGCTGCTGCTGCAATTGTTCTTTCATTACCTGATTTTCTTTTTGAAGTTTATCAATCTGAATTTGTTATTGATTCACTTGTTCGGTATATTGTCTGTTGTTAGTAATAATTTGAATGAGCATGACTCTTAATGTTGTATATGGACATGTTTTTAAATGCTTTTCAAGTTCATCATATGGTCCAGCCTATAGACATTCTATATCTGCTGATGAACATAAACTTTTTCGCTTTGTATATTTTTTATTGACATGTTCATCGAAATCACCTCTTTCTAGTCCTGTTTATTTGCACAATAGACATTTAACAGGAAGATTATGAAGCATATTGAGTAAAATGCCTTTGGGGATCGCTGTTAAATCTTGAATTTTAACATTTTGACGACATGATAAATCTCATCGAAGCCATTCTCTAATACAATGATGACAAAATGCATGTTCTTTTTGTTTACGCTTAGTTTTTACAGGATTGATGAAAGGATTGCTGCAAATCTTACATTTCAAATATTCCTTGATGGAATCTTCATTGATATACTTTTATTTATCACTAATTATCATTCGATTCATTTCAATTTTTATCTAAAAAGATGATTGTAGTAACTTCAGATTAGATTCTATACTGAAAGGAAGTTTAGAAAATCGCTTAAAATAAAATCTTTAAAAGTGTGATAATCTTAATTTATGCAATCGAAACATAATAGAAGTATGAAAAATATTCATATCTGAAAAAAAAGAACTATGATTGATAAGATCACTTCATAGCTCAATTTTCAAGCAAAACTATTTGATGAAAATAAAGTAGATATTGACTACAAAATATCATAATCATATCTTTTACAATGATGGACAAGTTGTTGACTTAAGTCGAATCACTTCTTGACATTTTCTCATTCATTCTTTTAGTGATCATCTCTTATCAGTTGTCACTATTCAAAACATTGGCAAATCTTCGTTCACATTCAATTCATTTTATCATAGTTTCTTTATCTATCACTTGATAGTGGCATCTGGGATCGCAGCTAGCTATACTTCACATGATCTTTCAAAAACATTTTCATCAGAAATTAATTTTTATAAATAACTACAAGGACAAAATTTACGATAGTGATTATGAATATTAGTGTAACAATTCTGAGAAATGTAATGCTGCAGTAAGAAGGATTTTTATCTATATACAGGTTCTATATTCTGAATCAAATTCCAGGCCTCCTTCTCATTTCATGTGTTCCTTGAAAGTTTAGAGAAAAGCGTCTTTTAAATGTAACTTTCATAGCTCCATCATAATGAAAATACATGAAGGTAGTCAGAAAAAAATTAAATTCTTTAATTCTGAAAAAATAACCAAAATAAAGGTAGAAAGAGGCATATGTTCAATCACTCCTAGATTACTGTACACTTTTGTTAAATTTCCAGGCACCAATTTTTAATTATGCCTTCTCAAGGTAACCTATCATTTTTAACACTTCATTTCATTTAAAAATATGACATAATCTGTGCAATTTGTAGTGATATTAAAACGGACGGTCGATTAAGATTAAACATAATACAATCTATTGTACTATTAGAAAGAATATTCAAGACTGGTAGCTGTGCTATGCCTTTTAAGGTACTTCTATACAGTCATCACGATTTAGACTTCCATGATGAACAACAAACCTAACGTGAGCTCTAGGCTTAGACAGATATCGAATGAGTTGGAGTCGAAATATAAGTTGCCTTAAGACGGACGGATCCAGCATAGTACCTCGATATTTTATATCAAAAAATTTGCTTTAATGGAATGCATGCCGAGTAAAAAATTCATTCTACGATGTGTTACTGCACTTAGAATTACATAAAAATATTATTTTTCGAAACTCATGCCTTTTTCATATCTTAGGCGCTATATGAACTTTGTGTTTTTGACAGAAAATGTTGATATCAATCAAATAGAGCTATTCTGTAGTCGTATCCGATGAAGTCTATTTTAGATTCAACAATAGAGCAAAAATGAATGTTTCAACTCGTTATATCTATAGACTACTATCGAAATGATCTAACATTCTCGTATAAACATGACTCGACGAAAACTTTCGTTTTGAATCTTTGAACCGATTATTAGAAAATTTTTCTATGGCGACCTATGGGCATGGTACAGTAGCCATGTGGTAGACTCTCTCTTTAACAAAATGATTGTGATGCTTTAATTTTCTGAGAGTGATAAATGTACTAGATTTGTTCGAAAAGTCATTATGAGGTAGGGAAATTTTGGAAAGAAAAGAAGAGTTCATTTCTTGACAACAATGTTTTACACAGTCCAATATCATTAGATTGTTTAGAAAATGTGTTTTGCCAGGAACAGTTGTATGCATGTAGATTAAACTGATCAATTACCGACCTCTGAAATATCCACTGTTGATTGTCTGAAGTTTGTTTCAAGCGAGGAGTCTGTTCGTTTCGATCTTTCGTTTTGCGTCTTATAGTTGATTTTTATATCCGTGTGCGCTAACAATGAAGATCGTGCAGTACATAGAACATTAAAAACAAAAATAATTGATGCAAGGACAATAATAGAGAGTGCAATGATAAGAAAGTTTGGACGACCGAAAAACGTTGAATTGATACTGATACCCACCAACAATGGAATGGTTGCTTGTCCTATCGTGGCTGCAACATTGAGCATGGCCATACGTTTGCCTGTCATCGTTATGTGTTTTTCAGCATAGGCTATCGTCGATGAATAAATAGATGCGACGAAGAAGGCAAAAAGTATTGATCCCACCCATAGAATAAAAGGCAATTTGTTGAATACAAGAAGAAGAACAAGTGATGCTATGCAGCCCACAAGATCCCCAAAAATCATTTCCTGCGGAGAGAGTCTGAGCGAAAATAGTATTCCGCATAAGCGACCAACGACTAAGGATGCCCAGAACGCCGAGTTTAAATAGGCGGCGATATCTTTCGAAAAGCGAAGATGCAAGGTTGCATACATATTTAAATAAAAGATAAAACCATACTGGCAACCTAGATACAAAAAGAGAAATGGCGCAAGCATCAAGACGAATGACAGCTGGAACTCTACTGATTTTTTCTTCTGCTCATTATTAAGATCGGCGAGAATAACAGGTGTTGTGGTGAGGAACTCTTTCGTGACTTGTTCGTTTGTAGGTCTGTTTTCTGACTTCAACTTGTCGTAGCATTCATTGCGACCACTGTACCATGAAAGCCAAACAAGATCAGGTAAATGTAGAAGAGAAATAATAAAATACGCGTAGTGCCATTGATTCTTGTCTTGTCGCTCGGATAGGAACTTAGCCACGACAAGTGGCGAAATAAAAGCTCCAATACCAAGTGCACTATGTAAAGCTTGCAAATATGGACCAACATTATGGTATGAATAATATCTTATTGTCAAGATATGGCTTAGATTCACCAACATACCCGATGCTAAACCCCATGCCAGTTGCAAGGAAAGTAATAGAATCAATTGATAGATAAATGGAATCAAGAATGTTGTTGCACTCATAATAAAAACTGCTGCCGTTAGAAATATATTACCGAAATCAGGAAATCGATCAATGAGCAGTCCAGCAAGTGTTGTACCGCTCAAAGAGCCACATGAACGAGTAAAGAATATACTGGTGAGTTGATAAGTCGTAGAATTTGTTTGTTCACCGAGTTTCAATAACGTTGACGTCGTGATGCCCGTTCCGAATCCTATGCAGAGGTAAGCATAGACAAGCGAGAGAAAATATATTATAGATGGTTTAGATACAGAAGGGTTTTCTTTAGTAATAGATACTGCCTGACATCGGAGAGAAGTGTCTGAATTCGTGCATGATTGGTTCAGCGTTCTCGGTACTGTAAGAGATGGTTGGTTTATGTGAATTGAAAACTTATTTTCTTTATTTTCGTTGGTCATGAAGTTTCGAAGATGAAGTTCTCTGTAGGAAACGATCAACAGCAAGTATTAGATAGAAGAAGATATAAAGTGGACCACAAAACTTTAAGAACTTTCGATGTTTCTTTTACTTTTTCTTACAGATAAGAAAACATAAATATTTATATATATATATATATAAAGATATTTATTTTTATCTGTAAAAACAAGTAAAGAAAACATCGAAAGTTCTTAAAGTTTTGTGGTCCACTTTATGTTAAGTACTTTCTCCAGCTATTTTTCTGAATGATACTGCAAGGTAAGGGTATAGATGAAAGTGACTAAGGTTTATGTTCTGTTGGCCTACTTTCCAATGACAGAATGATGTAGATCCTTCAAGGAGCAAATACTTTTTTTTTTATACACCTCAGAGTTCTGCAGAAGTGCATATTGTCTCATCTTATCTTGCCTTTATCTGCTACCTGTTTGTTGGCGCTTTTCTCTATTGGCCTGGAGAGGCATATATGTCGTTTTCTATTGACAATGTGGCCAAAATAATGACTGGAATTATTGAAAAAGCTGTCCGATGAAGTAATAAGAAAACGTCCTTCATCTATGTAACTCAACAGTTTCGAAGAATTTCACTAAACGAATTCTTAATGTTGACGAGGGCATTGACTGAGTATCAAGCAATGTTTGTATGATTGAAAAGCGAAAGAGAAGCAGTCGATTAGACAATAATTCAAGTATATAGTCACCTAACGTTGATCAATCACTCACTTATTAATATTGTAATTACAATGTATTTGATTTGAAATTCATCTCATGATAGTTCGAACTCTACAAATTGTTGTCCACTCTTTTCAACACACTAGCCAGCAATTTATAACTGTTGTTTAGCAAGAGGAAAACAGCGCTAATATCTCAAAGTCCAATAATGATCTGCATTGATGATTGTTTGTATATTTCTTGTATACTGTTCGTTCTCTCTCTTTGCAACGGATGCGGGTATGAGTTAATGCAGCACTCACACCCACAATCACGTCACAACAACAGATATTATTATAAAGTTAGAACAAATTTTTGGTGTGCACTGTCAGATTATGATGTAAAAAATAAAATAGAAGAATGATTTTTCACTTTGTTAAATGAAATAGATAATTTGAAACTAGCTGATATGTTGGATTAATAGACAGTAGAACAATGTAAACTAAATTCACCATTTCAATTGTGGTATTACGCTTATCGTAAACTATTGAAACTGTCATTATTAACGTATATATCTGTTAGATTGACTAATTTCGATGGTATATTGCTGATTTTTGTATTCTTTGTATGATGTATTCATCATATTGAAATTTTGGAAGAAATACTGTGTGGTCGTTTGTGGCACCAATATCTTTTTTCTATGAATCTTAGAAATAACACAAGACATTGAGCACAAGATTTATTACATCTAAAATCTTGCTCAATATATTTACGTGAAAGATTAGAAAGATCGTTTACTGTAAATCATACGAACCGTCCTTTCTCGGTTATCGTTCTCGATCAGACAGTTGAATGTTATATCAATAAATATGGTAAAGGTGTAGGTAGGATATTTTATCATATTATTTACTTGATCTCATTAGATTTTTGTTTTTTCTTTCTATGATTTCAAATGGTATATCTGAAAAATTGAATCTTGAATCAATTGAAATATGTGAAATGTACATGTAAGAACAGTGGGTGGTAGATATTTGATTATTTTTTTCTTTCCTTTCTCCCTAATATGTGTGACTTTAAATGGAGCGAATCATTTCTACATAAACAGCAGCAATTTCTTCACTGATTAGTACTACTGCCCACTGCTCGGAAAACATTAAAATTTTTTTATTTATGATGTATACTGTGCCTTATTTCATGAACTGTTGTCTAAATCACTTAGTACACCTTGTTTATAATGTTTTATTCTTATAATAAAATTTTTTCTATGAAAACTCTGTAATACTAATTTGTGCATTTCAAACTCAACTGAATTCTCATGTCTACTGTAACAAATATACAACTAAGAAATTTTTCAAGGTTGTTTTTCATTAATTATTATTAATAATTTAACGATCGCTTGACTGCACACTTCATTTCGTTTAATTAACTGTCAAAGACAAGAAAAGAAACGCATGAGCAGTCAAGTGACCATCAACATCAACTTTTTTACATACTTATTTGTACATTCTTTTCTTCGATAGTTTTTATGATAACAAGATCGACAAAAAAAGTCAAATGAGTGATAGACAACCTCTGTTAAACGTTTCCAGTAGGTTGTCCATTGGTGATAATGAGGATGATAATGGGAACAAGAAACAACCTTTAAGCAACAGGTATGATCTAATAAATGACTAAATTCGAGAAAAATACAATAAATTTATCATTGTTCGTAGTTTTTCTGATTGGCGACAATGTTTCACAAGAAAAGAAAACGATGGTAAATATATCAAATTAGATGAAGATACTGAACATACTGGCAAAGATCAAGTAGTTGGTATTCTTCAATTAGTAAGTATATTCAGATGAAATATAAACTGATTGATGTATTCAATTTTATTATAGTTTCGGTTTGCAAATCGTATCGATGTGGTCCTGATGGTTATTACTATATGTTTGGCAGTGCTACATGTGATTTGCATGCTCACTAACTTAATTATTTTCGGTCGACTTACAGGAATATTTGCTATTGAATCATTTGGTAATAATTGTAGTGATCAACATTCAGCTTCAATAGCTCTAATTAATAACAACAAAATATACACTCAAGGCATCGACTTAAACATATGGAACAATGCTCTGTTACATAAGTAATTCACTAAAAACTATTATTACATAGTTACTATATATTTCTTCTATTTTCCTTTACTATTATTTTATCTTAGATTGTCCGATAATATCGATGCAGTTTTGTTATCAACCTTACCTACATCAATATCTTCATTTCAAGAAGAAGTTATGCACATGGTTCACTGGCTATTCAGTAAGTAAAATCAATGTAATCGTTTGATTATAACAAATAATCGATATTGTTTTTTTTAACGTAGTTACTGCTGGTGTCCAATTTCTGGCTAGCTCGACTGCATATTTCATTTGGGTTATAACTGTGAAACGACAGATATCTCGTATGAGTATTTCTCTCTTTCGATCACTTGTTCAACGTGTAAGTCAAACACATTTCCGTTTACAAAAAACAGTATTTCCCAAAGATTATTTCCTGTCTTTTCTTAACGTTACTATGTACGTCTAACATCTTATGCTGTTTTTTTTAAAATTCCTATCATCTGCAAATTAGCAATTCTACCAAACTCATAAAATAAGCTAAAATATCTAGATAAAAGTTATTTACATATATATATATATATCGAGATATTTATATTTCTGAGACTTCTAGATCTAAAATAAAGATTAAGGTCAATAGTACAAATGTATGCTCAACTCTTCCTCGCACTCATCTATCTCATGCTTTCTTAGAAGCTGATACAAATATGATCGTTTTGAAGTTTTATAGAGTAATTGTGATCATTTATTGTTTTATAAAGAACTTTCAACTTCCGTAATAAACGACTTTACTAGTATGAAGACAGACATCGTTATTATTCATACAGTTTTACAATTAGTAAAACTAGAAATATTTCTCAAAAACTAAAGTTCAGATGGTGTAATTATGAAACGATGTTTAAGAAATACTGATAAATTCATGTAGTTATTTTCATAGTATTATTTATTCTCTAGATTGCCATGTATAGAAACGACTTTATTCTGTTTAGGGATGCGCCACTTCAACACGGAGTTGCCACTTTTATCCACGAAAGTTGAAAATACAATTGAATCACCTTATGTCTGAACTTCCCCGCATGCCATCTTCCAATTTCAATGATTTTTCACTCGTAGATATGACATAGTATCCTAGTAGAAGTCAATAAATGATTCCTATTCCTATTGAGACTTCTCTACAACTATTGAATTTTTAAAATGTCTATTTGCTAGAGATCCTTATGGATCCACGATTTTACAAAAAAAATCCTCTTGTTGAATTTGGTCTTGAAACTATCTCCATTTGAAGATCTCATATACACTAGCTTGTATGAAGAGTTTCAGAATTTGTAGACTTCACATTTCTGAAATATAAACTTTTGAAAATATTCATGTACTTTTTAATACGCTTCAAAAAGCATCTATTTGTGAAAGTTATTATCTCGATGATACGAAATCTAATAACTATGAGACTCTTTCTAGTTACAACCGTATATGAGACCTACAAATAGAGATAGCTCCTGGAAAAAATTCATGAGCATGAATTTTCACAAAATCTGGGCTCCTGTAGAGGACTCTAGCAAATAGACAGTAAAAATTCAATAACTTCACCAAGTCTCAGTCAGAAGTGAAGTCGTTTTAGGGCTTTCACGAGAATACTATCTAGTGTCTGTAAAAAATTATTAAAATCGAAAGGAGACATTAGAAAAGATTTCCTTAGCAGATCGTTGTTATAGTAGAACTTGATATTTGATGAAGACAGTTGGAGTAGAGTTGGCATTAGATTAACGAGCCTCCTTAGAAAATCGAATTTTTCAAGAAAATATTGAAGTTGAGTTTTTATCACAGGAAGATGCAGCGAAGCTACCTCTTTCAGAACATATATAATTTTTTGGAAAACGACCAGATTTTCAAAGACTTATTACATAAAACTTTGAGTCTACAACCATATTTTCGGAGAAATTTTCGTGATTTTTAAAGTTTTTCAGTTTCAGAAAAACTGCGTTGCCACTTGCATTACCATCGAATAGAACATTTTTATATTAACCAGCATATCAGATGGCGTTAGCTACTTTCATCGATCACAAACTTTCAAACGGTCCACTGGAATATATTAATAATATTCCATTAGAATATGATTTGTTTTAGATTTAAAAGAAAAAAACAATTTCTAAAACTTCTTTAATGTTTTTCTCAGAATATAGTTTCTAATCAGAAAAATTGGAACTACTCTCTCCTGTCTCGAGCTATAAGCAATAATTTTTTTCTTGTTTTAAAGGTCTCAATGAGAGTAAATTTTTATTCGGACGAATTTTTTATAGTTGGTTCCTGTGCCGAAAAAAATAGGATTTACTGTCGTTGGACCACCATTTTTTATACTGATTTTCAGACTATGTCACTAAAAATGCTCATAAAAAATGAATGAGATTGAATTTCAAAATTCTGTTCGGATAAAAATTACGCACTGATACTAGCTTTAATTTAAAGCCATCCCGAGCTCTATAGCATGTGTCGTGAGGAAGTTATATCGATCCCAAAAATAGATCATGATTCAGTTAGAGCTCCGGTTTAGTACGATTTATACGGCTGATATTTTTACTAGAAGCGTAACTCACCAGGATAAGTCATTCCTGAAAATTTCAGCTTAAATGTAGTATCCTAAGTGGAGAATTGTTTCTGAGGGTCCCATTAAATCAGCATCCAAGTAGGATTAATGTTGATAGATTTTTATCAGCCACGACTACAATTCTCTTGACTTGGTAATTTGTCGAGTAACAATAAAAATTTGATAGAGACAATACCAATTACAGAAGCAAATGCAAAAGGATTCAACTTTATAAAATAAAACTGGTTAAAACATTGAATTTTTATAGCCAGAGTTGTAATAGAGTTTTCAAAAAAACCTAAATTTGGAGTTAAATTGGAATTCGGAACATATAGACGAAATTGACTTTGAGGAAAAGGAGCGAATTTAGAATGACACTCACGAAGGAAGGTCCCCAAGTATGAAGCTCCATTTCGAATCTAGTATTTGTCATTTTGTGGAGCTCAGTGAATACAATGTATAATATAAAGAATTCGTTCCCATACTAGACTTTTAAGGGACTACGAGGTACTATAAAGAGTGTTCCAAAATAACTGGAGATGAATTGTTAATGATATTTTTCACACTTTATCTTAAAGTAGATGGTTGAAATTTTTATCACATATATATCTCATTAAAATCTTTTATTTCAAAAAGTTTCAGTTCTCTAGCTATAATTAATGATGAAATAGATCGACAAGATTGAAATGCATAAGTTTTCGTACTTGATTTTTGCATTATTTTCATTTTATAGTGGGGAAATCGAGTACGAAAACTTATGCATTTCAATCTTGTCGATATATTTCATCACTAATTATAGCTAGAGAACTGAAACTTTTAGAAATTAAATATTTTAATTAGATATATATGTGATAAAAATTTCAACCATCTACTTTAAGATAAAGTATGAACAATATCATTAACAATTCATCTCCAGTTATTTTGGAACACTCTTTATGGTACCTCGTAGTCCCTTAAAAGTCTAGTATGGGAACGAATTCTTTATTTCATATGTTGTATTCACTAAGCTCTACAAAATGACAAACACCAGATTCGAAACAAAGCTTCACACTTGGGGACCTTTCCCTCTCAGTCGCTTTTTTCCATTTCTAACTGATTTTCTCTCTTTCTTTGAAGAATATTACTTATATCGATACCAAGCCAACTGGCCAACTCAATACTAAACTATTTGAGTAAGCTTTTATTATATTTTATATCAAATAACTCCATCTAATTCAATTCTTCTATAGAAATATTGCAAAAATCGATAAAGGCATTGGTTATGAACTCTTAACCTTGGTGGCAATGATATTCATCGTCATTGGTGCTTTAATAGCATCTTTCATTATCAACTGGAAATTAACTTTGATCATGCTATGTTTAATGTCTTTAGTCATTGGTAGTTCATTTATGTTTTCTAAGGTATGAAGTGTTGTTCAATCAATTAAATATGTATAAATTATTACAGCTCATCGCTAAAGAAGCAAGAAATGAGTTAAAAACATACTGGAAAGCAGGACAAATCGCTCAAGAAGTGTTTAGTTCACTGCGAACTGTTCTTTCTCTCAATGGTAGCAAATTTGAGCGAAAACGGTAAATAAAGATTAAAAAAAAAGTTTACTTATTCGAGATCATAAAACATCTTATTATTTTCGTTGCATTTAGATATGAAAGAGAATTGTACACAACTCATTGGAGTAGTATACGCCAAGGTGCAATTTTTGGAGTTTTTACTGGGTGGCTATCTCTGATATCCTACCTAGTATATACAGTCGGCTTTATCTTTGGTTCTCTTCTTATGGGAAATAATCTTCATCATACTTTGACTATTAGTGATATTCTTGTTGTAAGTAATTCATATAATTAGTCAATAAGGATATGAATATACGACTACTATATTAATGCAGATCGTCTCTATCTTTGCACGATGTATGGGTTACTTCAATTTTGTTGGTCCTTTCTTTCAATCACTTTCAGAAGCTCAAGGTGCAGCATCAGCAGTATTTCAACTTATTGATGAGGTAACTTCGAGTTAATTGTGGTCTCATATTGATAGCGATTTTTTTTGTTTATTTACATAATATAGAGTAATGATACAAGTATCAATGAAACAGATGTATGGAAAGAGAATATAGAATCGATTCATAATATCAATGGGGATGTTGAATTTGACAATGTTAATTTTATTTATCCATCTCGAAAAGAAGCACCAGTTTTGCATAACCTTTCTCTCATTGCTCGTGCTGGTCAGACAACTGCTCTTGTAGGTTCAAGTGGTTCTGGTAAGTCTTTTCCAAAACAAAAATAATCAAATGATCTTATATTTGTTCGTAATTTATTCATAGGAAAAAGTACATGTATATCAATGCTTCTTCGTTATTATGAACCTTCATCAGGTCGAATTACAATTGAAGGTCGGCCAATAACAGACTATAATGTTCAACAACTTCGACAAAACATTGGAATTGTTAGTCAAGAACCCGTAAGCTTTTTTTCATTTTTTAATTTTTCTTCTCTTTTTTTGCTCATGCATTATTGTAATAGATTCTGTTTGGTACAAGTATTTATGAAAATATTCGTTTTGGTAAAGTAAATGCAACACGAACAGAAATTGAACAAGCAGCACAAGAAGCAAATGCACATCATTTCATCATGCAATTACCAGATGTTTGCGTCAAATATTCATCTTTATCTGTATATAAATATACATGTATGATTATTTCTTGTTTAGAAATATGAAACACTGGTTGGTGAACGTGGTATACAGTTGAGTGGTGGTGAAAAACAACGTATTGCATTAGCTCGTGCTCTTGTCAAAAATCCTACACTCCTTTTACTGGATGAAGCGACAAGTGCACTTGATAATGTTAGTGAAAAGCTTGTTCAAGAAGCACTCGATAGAGCATGCAAAGGTAAAAATTATTTTTTCCTTCTTATCATAATGATATATCGTTTTGCAAAGGTCGTACAACTATTGTGGTTGCTCATCGTTTAACTACAATTCAAAATGCTCATCAAATATATGTATTAGATAATGGAAGTGTAATTGAACAAGGTACACATGAAACATTGATGGCAAAAGAAGGAGGCAAATATCAAACAATGGTCAAAAGTCAACGTATGGAAAAAATTGATGATGATAAAGATGGCATATTGAGTATACAAAAAGCAACAGAAGAGGAAGAAAAGTCAATATGTATGTTAAGATTCTTATAGTAATTATCTTTATTCGTGTTCTTCGTTTTTTTTTGTTTAACAGTTGAACGCTCTCGTTCATTAAGCGACAGTCAAATGGTCGATCTGAACAAAGTACAAATACTACTACTATTATTTATAAAAACCACTATTGCTAATCTCTTTTTTTAAGCAAACTTCAAAGTCGTTTATGCATAGATTCGTCGTTTTAAGACTATTGTCAATGAGTAGTCCTGAATGGATCACAATTTTGATTGCTTCTATAGCATGTATACTGAATGGAGGAGCTCAACCATTGTTTGCATTTTTACTTGCCCGAATAATCAATGTAAGTAATCCATTCAAATAAATATCATGCAAAAAGATTAATGATATACACTATTTTATGTCGATTTGTTTATTGTTTAGCAATTCAAATATTGTTCAAATTCTGAACGACGTCATCATGTGTTGATTAGCAGTTTAATGTTTTTATTTTTGGGTATTATTTTATTTATTCTTCGTTTCTTTCAAGTAAAACTACTCCCTATGAATTTGATCAATAATTTATTCAGTGTATTCTATAGTATACAGCGTTTGCCATAGCAGGATCAAAATTGACGCAACGTATTCGTTCGAAAGCCTTTGCATGTCTACTTCGTCAAGAAGTTGCTTATTTTGATCGACCTGAAAATAGTTCTGGTGCGATCTGTGTTCGACTTTCTTCTGATGCATCAGCAATTAAAGATATCACCGGTTCACGATTTGGAGCCATCTGTGAATCTATCGCACTATCATTTTTTGGAATTCTCTTTGGATGTCTCTTGAGTTGGCAACTAACATTGATCGTTTTTTGTGCTGTTTTTATTCAATGTACAGTCACCTATGTGGATATGTCCCTACGTATACGGCTAAATAAACAATCTCGTCAAATAAGTGGACGAGCAAGTACAGTAAGTTCAGGTTTTATCCTAATAATTGCTTTTTTTTGTTGTAGGAAAACTATTTTATTATGATTTATTTGATAAATCAAATACATTCTTTTCATTCTGTTTCTTTTGTTTCTGTAGCTTGCCGTTGAAGTTATCCACAATTTGCGTACAATAAAACAGTTGCCAATAGAAAAGGAAGTGTTAAGACAATATTCTCTACTTATTCATGACCTATTTATGTTAGTCAATCGAATTTTATATTATATATATATAAATCTTTAATCAATCTTATTTTCTCATAGATCTTCTTGGAAACGTGCGGTGCCACATTCAGTGTCATATGGTATATTCTGGTCACTAGATACATGCACTATGGCATTTGTGTATTGGCGTGCTCTCATCCTTGTCGAAAACAACAAGCTCACTTCTGATCATATTATAATGTAATTGAAACCAAACTTTTATAATTTAGAGATAATGTTTCGTTATCTTTTCAATTTATTAGGGTGTTTTCTTTTGCTATTTTTTCGCTACACGCACTAAGACTCATCGGAATGATGTAATACTCTCAATCTCTCATTTCGTTTTTTTCATTTTGCTGTCTCCATTATAGGTCTAGGCGTCTCGCAGAATCAGTCTCATCTGCTGAAGCATTTTTTGATTTATTTGATCGAAAACCAGCTATTGATAATGCATCTACTGAAGGACAAGAATTGGTAAGAGAACATAGAAAATAATCATTTTCTTTGGATTATAACAGGTGTTGCAGACAGAATGGCCCTCTCAGTATATTACTGACATCTCCATCAATTCTTATTCGTTCAGGCTTAATTTTTTTAAAGATTCGTCTTGTTAGTCTCTACAAGAATCTATAATTCGTATTTCATTCAAGGGTATATTGTCTTTGTTATAAGATGAAAAATAAAGATCTTCAAAAACTGGTTCTTTGTAAATACGAAGATGATGATGATTCTACCAAGATCTTTCGTGATTTTATTGGTTTCTTGAGGTTACGTATTATAAAAAGATGGTGCAAGATGATCCGTAACACTGGTTCTATCCAGCTATCGACATCGCCGACGGCTTCACGCCTTGCTCGGACCAGTAAAGTGATCCAAAAAGTCAAACACAAACTCAACCAAAACAAGGTGATATCCGTTCGAAATTTGTCTAAAGAATACGGCATATCCAAATCAAATGTACATCGTATATTGAAAGAAGATTTGGAACTCTATGCCTATAAGACAACAATTGAACCAAAACTCACCGATGAACACAAGTACAAACGAAGAAAATTCGCAAACTGGATCTTTAATAATTTTCGAAACGAAGACACAATGCGAATTTTATTTTCACACAAAAAAATGTTCGATGTCGATGGCATATACAATTTCCAAAACTAACGTATTTGGACGATCAGTAATATTGAAGCAAACGAAAACGGTGGAACCAAAATGAAACAAAATTTTCCGAAAAAGGTTATGGTCTGGCTGGGTATTTGCTTCAAAGGAGTGACACTCTTGGTCGTTTTCGACCAAGGAACAGTAGATCATGCTGAATATATCCAGCATGTTCTACCAATAGCACTAGAATATGGAAATAAGAACATTGGAGATACTGGACATTTCAATAGGACGGTACAAAATCTCACGTCCATCATCTAACACAAAAGTGATGTCAGGACAAATTTCCATCGTTCATAGATAAAAATCATTGACCACCGAGTAGTCCAGATTTAAATCCATTAGACTATTCTATTTGGGACGAATTTGTACGATCCATCAACTGGACGATAGTAGCATCAAAAGACACACTCATCGAAGAACTAAAACGTACAGTCAAAAAAATTCAACAATATGTTGTTTTACAAAGTTGTTCATCTTGGCCTGTTCGTTTGAAGCGTGTTTTAGTCAATGATAAACGTCACTTAAATAAATAAAAAATACACTATCTTGTAGAGCATCTCAAGACGAATCTTTATAAAAAAAAACAAAGCCCAAACAAATGAGAATTGATAGTGATATCAGTAAAATACTGAGAGGACCATTCTTTCTGGAACACCCGTTCCATATTCCATGAACATAATATGATTCATGTAGGCGGATTTTCGTGGAGAGATAAAATTTGATCAAGTCAAATTTATCTATCCAACTCGATCAACATCTATTGTTCTTAACAAATTTCAATGGAATATCAAGCCAGGTAAGTGAAATGAATTTTGATTTAATCAGATCATTAAAAATTTTAATTCTTTGATAAGGTCAACGTGTGGCTCTTGTTGGTATGTTTGAATTAGATACTTTTTTAAAGATATTAATTATATAATATGATGTATAAAGGTACATCCGGATGCGGAAAATCAACAATTATTCAATTGCTGGAACGATTCTATGATGTTACAAGTGGTCGAATAGTTAGTATTTCTTCAATATACACTGTGAAAAAAGCCCGCAGAAGAATGAATCATTACACTTTAAAAAATTTTCCCATAAACTCTTGAAGGGTCTGTACCGATGTCATATACTCTTCCAAGGTTTATGAGCCGAAAGGCGTATAACAGTGAGGATATATGAAAATGAGAAGAGTATATGACATCTATTTAAGGATATTTTATTCAACGTTTTCATCGAAAGTATTTATTATTCTACAATTTCAACAATAGGGCAGATTAGTCTACGAGTTTAGCTAAAGGGTTCACTATTCTACATAAAAGAATAGATTGTTCTAAGATTTGAGAAAAAAGGTTTATTATTCTTCCCATAAGGCATATTATCCTACGTTTTCATCTGAAGCGTTTATTATTCTAAGCGTAGAGGTAGAGCACTCTACGTTTTCTTCAGGAGAGTTTCTTATTTGTAGGTACAATGGTAGATTACTTTAGCTTATTTTTACGGTATAGTCATTCTGATAGTTGCCTCGTATCTTATGCGAAGAATAGAACAAGACGATTTAATTTAATTTTCTTTTCTTTGTTTAGTTATCGCGAGTGTTCTCCAGTATCTCATCATAGACATAAGATCAAATGATTTAGTTTAATTTTTTTCCTTCTACGTTTCGATATCTCCGCAGCTTTTAATAAAATTATGCAAGAAATCGAAGAAGTTACTTTAGTTATCTTTTCTTTTTCTTCATATAGTTATCTTGACAGTTGTCGCGTATTTTATGCTACAACATCAATAAGTTAATTTAGTTTTCTTTTCCTCTAATACTTATGCCGACAGTTTTCTTGCATCTTACAAGAGAAATTGAGAAAGTTAGTTTAGTTTACTTTTATCTTTCTCCATTGAGATTTCCTGATTGTAGATGTGTACTTTGTGAGAGAAACAGAATCAGAAAATTACCTTAACTCTTCTTGTCTTCATTTAGTTATTTCTATAACTGTCCAACATCTTATTGAGAAAAATCGAATAAGTTAGTGTAGTTTGACTTTCCTTTCGTTAGTCATAGTTGTTCACAACCTTATAAAAGAAATTAAATAACACAGTTCAGTTTGCTTCTTCATTCTGCGCATTTCATTCTATTCATAGTTTATGAGAATATAATGAACAAAATGGATTAAGTTTATTTACGTTTATTTTCTTTTCGTCATTGACTTTCTTAATAGTTAATTAGTTTTTTATGGACGAGAATATTTTAATAGAATTCACTTTATTTTTGTTGTCCTTGGTTTAGTTATCGTGATAGTTTTTCATGATCTTTGCAGGAGAATCGATTACCTTATTTTACTCTAATTTCCTTCGTCTTGATCAATTTCTGCTGATAGTTGTGGAGCGTTTTATGACTAAAACGAAAGAAGATAATTTACTTTTTTCTTTTCTTCTCGTCATTCAGGTGTTTTTATATTTTTTACAACATGTTATAAGACGAGTAATATGAAACCGTTCACTTTCGTTTTGTTTATGTATTCAGTCTTATATATTACTACACTCGAGTAATGATTGAGTGCTATGAGATTTTCAACCGTTTTGGTAATTTAAGAATCGTTTCGATAACTCTCGCGTAAACGCTATGCAATTTATAAAATAAAAGTTTCCGTTTACCGTCTCAGAAGCTCTCTTTAGGTTAATGATCGCCTTGAATACTTCTTTATATGGTTCCATATACCTTTGCATAAACTCATGGTACTAATCATAATCTTCATGAATCTTCTCAGATATTCTTTTGATAATTGGTTTTAAGGTTATGTGAAAGTGATTAGGAAGTTCATGAGCCATTGCGAAGGGTTTATAAAAGGGTCTACGAAGATTTTATAAACTGTAAACAAGTATTGTTTTATACGTTGCACTTTCATAAACCCTTTAGAGATTTATTATTCTACGGATTTTGTTTTACAGTGTATAGTTTAAGTACTCATATAAATTTGTTCACTCCATCTAGCTTCTTGATGGTATCAATATTCGACGATTAAACCTTCAGTGGGTTCGTTCTCATATTGGCCTTGTTAGTCAAGAACCAATTTTATTCGATTTAACAATTGCTGAAAATATTGCATATGGATTAGAAAATGTTCCAATGGAAGACATTATCAATGCAGCACGTAGAGCTAATATTCATCAATTTATTGACCAATTGCCTCAGGTTAAACAATATAAAATTCTATAATATATCTATTACTATTTTATGATATATCTTTTTAGGGTTATGAAACAAAAGTAGGGTTGAAAGGAAGTTTTTTGTCAGGTGGTGAGAAACAACGTATTGCTATTGCTCGAATTATCCTTCGTCGACCTAAAATATTACTGTTAGATGAAGCTACAAGTGCCATGGATTCATATAATGAACAAGTAAATTTATTTTTTCTTTCTATTTATCAAAATAAAGTTTCGTCTTCATTTTCCAATTATAGCTTGTACAAGAAGCTCTAGAACAAGCTCAGACAGAAGATCCTAGTCGGACATCACTTATTATTGCTCATCGTCTTTCAACTATTCGTTCATGTGATTCAATTTGTGTACTTGATAGAGGACATATAGTGGAAACTGGTACTCATACAGAATTGACACAACGACGCGGAGCTTATTATAAAATGCTTCTTCAAAACAATTTACAATGATCATCATTGAACTATTTTGAAAGCGAAAATAAACTTTATTGAACATTAAGAGAAACTAAGGGATAGCTATCATGGGATCTAGGAGGAGCTGAGTTTTCCTGGAAAACTCTTGAGCTCTGCCAGGAATTTAATCTTCGTTTATTATTTTATGCTTTTTCCGCAAAAGATTTTCGAAATATATGCTATAAATTGACTTCACGAAGTATTTTATTTTAAGTGATTAATTAGTAAATTTTTGGTGTTTTTTTTAATATCCAAATATTCATTGAGACGCCACTGTCACTGTTCGATATTATTCCTCAACGAAGATACAGATTTAGTATCTCAGTTCAACTGGCTATCTGTGACAGGCCAATAACAGAAGATATGAACCGCCGAAAAAAATACAAATCTTATGAAATATAGTGTATTAATTTAAACAAACCATTATTTAGAAATAGTTGGGAACAATATGGATACAAAGAATCTAATAAACACAATCCTACTCTTGACAGTTTTGTCGTGTCTAGTAAGAAATCTCGCGAAGGGAATAGTAAAACAAACATGATATTGAATCAGGTATGTTCATCATCTTCCTTGTTACGTGCTTTTTCTATTACGTCGAAGGACTTGAACTCTTCACTTCTATCTGCCTATGATTCAGTTGATACATTTGCAGTTCATTTCACAAATTTATTATCAAGTAGAGAAAACTGTCCATTACAATCATGCCTTGTTGGAGTGAATCGAACAAGTCAAGATCTACCTTCTTAGCCTGGTTTAGCTATTTATGCAAAAGATAGACATAATAGAGCATTTCAGGTACCTTGGTTCACAAATCAGTCCTGGTTAGAATACTCAGTAGAAAAAGATTCAGCATTTTGTTACTATTGTCGTCATTTTTCACATTTCATCGCATCAAATCGTATTCTAAAAGATGTGTTCATTAGACACGGTTTTCTTAATTAGAAGCGTTCTCCGGCACATGATAGAGGCTTTAACCAACACACTAGCACTTAAGCACATAAAATGCCAAGTACAAATTTTTTTAAAGTATCAATCACGTCAACAATCTTAGACAGCTGTACTTAACGTTCTTGATGAGTCCAGAACTGAACTAATTCATCAAAATACTAATAAGCTGATAAAAATTAGTTCGGCAATTTTGTTATGTGCAAAGCAATGTATATCTCATCGTGGTCATGATGAAAGTATTGAATAACTAATTTTGGCTATCACTCTATTCATGTCCATGTATAATTAAAAAACTCTGTTTTCTACTTTCAGTTCAATTAATTGTAGTAATCTGATCGAGATATTAAATTGGTCATCAACAATCGCTTCATTAGCAAAAGCTATTCTAGAGTAGAGCGCAGACAATGCCATATATTTATCATATCATATTCAAAATGAGTTAAAGAACATTATAGGAAACCAAATACGCGATAGAATTTCTAAAAAAGTAAGCAAAAAAGATTTTCTAATCCTAGTTTTGCTCAATTAAAACTGTGTTATATTATTTTAGTTAGCTGGAAATGTGTATGTTTTACTAGCTGATGAAGTAGTAAATGCTAGTCATAATGAACAGTTGTCTATTTGTCTTCGGTTTATTAATGATGAACATGAATGTGAAGAGTATTTCTTAGGATTTGTTCCTTTTTATGATTTTGATGCTGTTTCATTAGCAAAAGAAATAAGTAACTATTTGGTAAAGCACAATATTCCTATGTCAACATGTATAGCACAATGTTAGGACTGGTAAATAAACATAGTTGGGTACTCAAGTTCTGTCATCTATAGAGTTTTTTTCTTTAGTACTGCCATGATGTTCGGTCAATATAATGGAGTTTATATGAAATTACAACAATATTTTATGCCAAAAGCTATCTATATCCACTGTATGACACATAGATTGAATATAGTTATGTCACGTATATTTGGTAGTTCTATATATTGATGGGTTTTTTCAATCATAGAAAAATTCATGATTATTTTGCACCTTCTGGTGTGAGTAACCGATATTTTTGTAATGCAAAGACACTCCTTAAATTAGGTAAAAAGAACAAATATTTTAATCTGCTAGTGTAACTCGATCGATGCTTTTTCAATTAGCTACAACATCCAAATTGAAAAAATGAGAAATGACTCGTTGGGACGCTAGATTCAAATCTATTGATGCAACTAAAAATTAGTTCTTAGCAATTATTAAAGTACTTGAAGATTTAGTGAAGAATGATAGAAATCGTGCAGTAGATCAAAAAAGAGGTTTGTGTCTAGTTATGAAGAAATCAAAGTTTACAATGACAATGTTTATTTTACACCGTTTATTATGGCCGATAAAGGTTCTATCTGATCAGTTGAAAATAAATTTTTTTTTTGTTCATATGAAATCTTCTTTTTTTAATGTTCTCTTAAAGTTATTTGTGTTAATCTTGGCTCAGTAAAGGACTTTGTATCAACACTTTGTAAACAATTTACTGATATGAAAAATGAGTAATCATTAAAAGGAGTTATATGATGAAGCAATATTATTTGGAGAGACAATTAGTGTGAATATGAATGAATCTAATCGAATCAGACGTCAAAAAACAAGTCCATCAAGATTTAAAGGCTGTTTAATTACAATATCATTGGGTCATCGAGATAATTATACCAATGAAGAGAGATTTCAAATAAACATGTGTCTTTCAATAATTGATTGTAATCTTACAGAATCACATGATCGACTATCTTGCGGAAAGTTACTAATATCATAAACTATCTCATCCTGATTAGCATCTAGTCAAAATTTGTTGGACCTTCTAATGTTACAATCCTTAATTGATCACTTATGTTTAGATAATTCTATGATAAAAAATAAAATTACAGTTATACAACCTATGCTTAAAAATAAAACATTATTAACTATATGTAATTTATTTAATGAATTAATGCCAATGAAAGATACATTTCCTTCAATTGTTGAATTGATCAAAAGTGACATTACATTTCCACTATCGTCGTTTACATGCGAGAGAACATTCTCAAAAATGAAGTTAATCAAAACATACGCTCGAAATTCTATGGGAGACGAACGATTAAGTGATCTTAGCATTTTGACTGTTGAGAAAGAGTTCATAATTGACTTTGAGAAAGTGGTCGATGTTTTTGCAACTAAATATAAAAATAGTAGAATAATCTTGATGTGAACAAGAAATTTTTGATAAATAAAAATTTTAATTAGGAATTCATGACTTGTCGATTTATTTTTAAAACTTGAAGAATGTGTAAGTGAATAGAATTTCACACAGTGAATAGTAGCGCCGATCTTAAAAGATGTAAAACACCAAAAATCAAGACAATTGAAAATCATGTTTCTATCAAATTCAATTGCGTCCATTAGCGTCATCTCTGTATATTAGTAACTAAGCCAAAGAATGAGTAACCAATAAAATAAATGTAGAATCTTTTTTCTCTCTCTCAATTTACTTTTTGATTATTATGAAAACGAAGCATCAATTTTGTTCGTTGACTTTTAACATGTCCTTCCTTTTGACTAGAAAATAAAAATCAATTTGATGTGTATCATTCAGGTTATGTTCAATCTTAACTTCTTAAAACATTTTATAAATCTGAAAAGTCTTTTCAAAATTAAGATATGATCATTTTTTTTTTCCTGTCAAAAATATCATATTATCATTCTTCAAACATTTCTTCATGCAATTATCGAAGTTATTATCAATAAAAGTGAAATATTCGAATAATATTACAGTTTTTCACATTCTGACCTTTTAGATTGCTATTTTGTATTAGATTGGTTTATTAATTTGTTTTAATTGCACATTATGTAATTGTCAAAATATTTCAACTTGTTTTAAAATTGTGATATGTTGAATGATTGAAAGTCTATGAATGAATTATCAATTAAAACTTTTTTATAGACTTGCCAACATTTAATAATAAGTATTTATTCACACTTTATAATCGGAACTGACGACAAAACTTTGCTAAGTGAGCTATCATTGTTGATAAAGTCGTATGTCATTATTTAGACTTTTTTCTGACTGGAGAAGCTTAAAATTCTTCGTGCTCCTGAATCTGTCTTTTTGAATTATGAGCATTTTAACAACATTTTCAACAATATATTGTAGTTCTCCTAAAATTATCTTCAAAAATAAGTTTCGACTTTCGATTTCAAACTAAGTTCTCAACATGATTATTTCATTGTAAAAGTATGAGATTTTCTAATATTTCTACTTTTATAATGAATTAGTTCCATTGATAAACTAAACTGCACAAGATTTCAATTCGAAAGTTGATTCTGAAAGGAATCGTAGGATGTTATTGACAAATTCATTAAGATAGTCATTACGGAAGAAGAAAGACTAGCAGACACGAATCATCTTCGAATTCCTCTATTATTTATAGAATTTAACTATTGAGATAAGACTCATCTCAAAAACAATTTATCATATTGTGGTACTTCTTCATAAGTTTGAAGAAATGATTTGTCCATTTCCTGAATGATTATTCTTCATATGCGTAATCTTTATTCTCATGGTAGAAATTTCTATCATAACATTCAAGTGTTCTTAGGTAGTAAAATGAGTTGTTTATATTTATAAAAGTTACTAACATACAGAAATCAATCATAATAAAATTGAATGATTATCTTAAATGAAGTTTTCTGTCCATTTGACAATATGTATAATAATAACAATTATCAACATAAGTGAAATTTTTAATTATTTCTCATACACATCCCATTGTTCTCTTTGCAATGTTATATCTATTTATAGTATAGACCTATTTTACGTTATCTTCTTTTAATTAAGAAAGAAAAACAAAAACTCATCTATTAATTAATTCTAACTATATTTTTTTGTCATGTTGAGGAGTACAATCGAGTAATTGATATCTGAAAAAGTTTGACTAACTATCATTTTAATAACAAAGAAAAACAAAAAAAAGAAAAAGAAAATATTTGATTTGATTTCAGATAAAAAATGACATCTCAAATATGTTGTTATATATTTGAAAAT